ATACCCCCATGATTAATACCCGGGTATTATTCACCATCCATATCATCCTTTTTCTTGAATAAGACTGGGGTATAGCTATGTTGATTTACTACTTTTAATATAATATTTCCCCAAATATAGTACCCGGTTCTTCACACAGTATCCACGGGTACTATCAAATTTTAAAAATGGAGTTCTTGAATAAGACCCTGGGTATTGTATATAGTGGCCAACGGTATATGATTTAAGTATCCACACTTACAATATCATAATGTTTAATTTATAAGATAGTTAAATCTAATTAGGCCGTTCAAAGTTGATTATTAGGTTGGGGTCTTCCTTCTCGGTTAACTGTATAAACTTCATTAATCATGTGCGTTAGGTTGATCAATGAGATTGATCAAATATTCATGGGAATATATGAAATCCTCCCTCTCGTGCGCTGTTGTTCAATTTCCTGAAAGATATTTGTACCGTAACCCCTTGTGCCTGAGCCTAATGTTGACGTTAACTTAATACAGTAATCAACTTGAACGGCTTATGCAAGAGATTTTTCTAAATCAGGTTAGTAAATTAGAGGTAATGTAAATTTTATAAATTTATTAGCCTACTTAGTTACTTATTAAAAAAAAAAAATCTGCTAAATAGATTTCAGCATTATACGAATGTTTGACTTATTATTGAGTCAATTTTAAAAAATTGACTAGTACTTTTGTAGGTTTTTTTTTTTATAAAAACAAAGTTACCCCTCAGTTTCTATTAGCGTTATTGCAGAGTATACATGTACACAATGGCTCTCGATATAACAGACTATCGATATAACGGACATGCTTAATACGGAGAATTATAATATAACCAAATTATTATTTAAATTATTATTTTGATATATCATTAGATCTTGACATCATGGAGATTTGATATAACGGAGCAAAAGACTGGAACAATAGCCTCAATTATATCGAGAGCCACTGTATACTACTACTACTTAATCCTTATTTAATTTGAAATCCGTAAATTACATAACATCACAACTTTTTACAATGCATAAAAAAAAATTGTGCTCAATTATTCTAACATTTATAATATATGTCTAATTTGAAAATCACGTTAAATATAGATGGAATGGTATTGGACTTGAGATATATGGAATAACACAAGATCGAGAGTCTCAGATATATATGATATTTCAGTATGCCAATAAGGGAAATATGTACAATTTTTTAAGATCAAATTTTAAAGAACTCAATTGGGAAAACAAATTGATGTATCTTATAGATATATCAAATGATTTGGCTAGGGTTCATGAATCAGGTTATGTTCATTGTGATTTCCATAGTGGAAATATTCTGCTAAATCAATATAAAAGTATCTTTACAAAGTCTTTTATCACCGATCTAGGATTATCTAAGGATCTAAAAGAATCAGCTTCAAAAGGCGAAATTTATGGAATCATGCCATATATTGCACCAGAAATTTTATCAGGTGAAGAATATACACCAGCAGCTGATATATATAGCCTAGGTATTATCATGACAGAATTGTCAACTGGAAAAAGGCCTTTTTGTGATTTTTCTTTCGACTATGGACTTGCAGCGAACATTTGTAAAGGATTACGACCTGAATTTTCTAAAAGAACCCGAATGTTATATTGAATTAGCCAAGCAATGCATGGATTCCAATCCACATAACTGACCTAATGCTAAAGATATTAGTTCAAAGCTTTCAGAATGGCGATGAATCATTCAATAACTTGTGAGGAATCCGATATTAAAAGAAGTTTTATTTCTGCTAATGAAGAGATCAAAACAAATCAAATTATCTTACCAAATCATCAACGCTTAATTTATACGAGTAAACCAACAAAAACTAAAGAAGTTAAACTAGCATGCGAATCAGCTAAATTGTATGAACCAGCTAAATTTGAAGGTAATTTTAGAATTTGTTAGAAAAGTTATATAATTATTCATTTATTGTTTCATACCAATAATTAATTATTGCTGTATTCATATATAGATTCGAAACTGTGCGATCTTGATCTTGATATGATGCAATTATGTTAAGGAAAAAATAAAAAAAATATAAAAATATAAAAATAAAAAAAAAATAAAAAAAATAAAAATAAATAAATAAAAAAATTGAAAAAATGAAAAAATAAATAAAGAAATAAATGAAAAAAAATAAAAAATAAGATAAATAAATTAACGTGATGATTGTTTTGAAAGTAATCAGAGTATAAGCGAATAAATATTATAAAGTGTGTATCGAATATTAATAGAACAAGGAGAGAGTAACAATAAATTAAGTCAGAGTAAAGTAGAAATAATGTGAATATATTTAAGATAGTTCAAAATAAAGCATGGTAAATTATGAAAAATGCAAAGAAATTTAAATTGATAGGAATAATTATGAAGAGAAAGACAGCAAACTGAGTTTATTTAAATATTTTTAAAAAAATTCTAATGTACTTGAATTATTTTGCAAATACAATAAGATTTTTGTAAATTTATTATCTTTAATGACTATTGCTAACTTGCCCCTGGTTACATCACCAGGGCGTTATATCTCAAAAACGTACTAAGTAAACTGGATCGGGTACTCTAAGTAAAAATGTTCAGGACCCCTAAAAATCACGCGAGAACTGAAATCGGGACCCTATATCTAATATACATTATATTATAAAAAAAAAATTCCTAAAACTACACCCTAACTTTAAATTTAATAGGTGTGGTTATATCACCCATGGTTAAAAATAGTTAAAAACATCTTTGACTATATTTAAACATATAAACTTTTACTAAAGTAATTAGTTTTTTAATTATTGTCATAGCTAATGCTAAAAATAGCTGATGCTAAAATTTTGAGTTTTTATTTAGAACTATAAAACTACTAAAACCTATCTATACACTTTAATTAATAAACCCTGACTCTAAACTTTACTCAAACTATTATATAAAGACTAAAAAAATATACTCTAAAAATTGTTAAAATTTAATAATAAAATAATCAAAATTTTAGCATTAGCTACAACAATTATTGGTTTTGTTTTTATTTAATAGATTGGATTTACTTTTTGTTTTTAATATTTAGAGGAATACCCCAGATGTAGCACCTGCCCCAAACTTTTATTAATACTTAAGTAAATTGACATATGGTGGTGCTATAAATACATACATATTACATATTAGTATTGTGATTAGAATTTTAGATATACAAACCATTTATCTATAGCTAAAACCCACCAGAGCCATCACACTCCCACATATGTAATTGAGCTAGTTTTTGTACTTCTTTCCTTAACTGCTAATTAGTATTCACATATCTGCCATATTATCCACATAATCTACTATCTTAATTCTCAAATCGGTGTGTATTTCTTCAAATAGGTGCTTTTTGCTTCTGGTTTGGTGTGTTTGACAGAGAATTTTCTTAATTCTTACTGGCATACTTTCTAGGAGTTTATATCTCAAGCCATGTAGCTGCCTTTATCTAATTTGGTAAGTATCTCAAGCCTGCATGCTGCCATAACTAGCTAGATTTCCTGTGACTTTGAGACCCAGGTCTTAATATTGTAAATTTAGCAATGTGTTAACAACTATACTTTCCAATATGGTAACAAGGAGTTCAGGCATGTTTTGTATATGCTTCCAGTTTCAAGTATAGTTGGGTGGCATTATGAGGCCTAGGGGTTCTTAACAGGTGCATCATTATTTTCTATTTATAGTAATTTTGGCAGTTGTAGCCCCCAGTTACCACTGCATGCACTTATACTAGCTATTCCAATATTGGTAGGTTCTAAGTCCTCTTAATATCTGAAAACTCCTATACTGATATGACCATTGCCTGTTGGGTTTATTAATATGTACATAGATTGGATTTACTAATTTGTACTAAATTTAGCCTATTTTAAAAAATGTATAAAAAATTTTGCTCTCATCTAACTTTTGTTATAGTAATTAAAAAATTATAAAAAAAAAATCATTTATTAGCATTTATAATATATTATTTACTGTAGAAGTTTCAAGATTGTAGCTTTTTTATTTAAAAAGTTACATTGGGTGGGATACTTATAATTTTGACTGTATATACTACAGTAGAATCTATCAAATCTGATCTTGTCAAAACTGATAATTTGTCAAAACTAATAAAAAATTGATCCACCATGCTTATTCCCTAAGCCAAATCTGATAACCAGTCAAACCTAATAACTGATACTTACAAAATCAAATATTTATAATATATCAAATTTAAAAGGTAATTTAAATTGATTTGATTGGCTCAAATTATATTTTGTATAACAAATTTATATATAATAAATATAATCTAA